CTATGCCATTCCCATTTCCGTTGGGATTCCCTTTGGCAAGGGGTTTTTATGAACCCACTAACATAACCTTAAGGTATCACACCTTGGCACGTTTGGTGTATCCACACCATTGGCCCCACGAGCCTATCCTTATGACACTACTTATTAGTGTTTAGGTCTTTGCCAAGACCAATATGGTTGTTCCTCATGCTAACTATCCATTAACACCGCACTATAGTGTTTGCACCCAACTCTGAGCCAAAGTTACTTTCTTCTGGGAACATCTTTCCCACAACTTTAGTATGGCATATTCTGCCATCAATGAGATACCTATTGTTTTCATACTTGGATTTTATGATCCTCCTCATACCTCATGGGGCACTATACACCTCAATCCAAATGCTTCCACCTCAGTCCAAATGCTTCAACCAATCCCTTAGGATTATTCCTTGACTCTTATTTGAGTCACCCAGCTTTTTGGACTTTATCATCCGACGACCCGTGAGGTCCTACCTTTGAGGTGCTAGCTCACTAGAATACAACTTCTTATATTCAAGTCCTACTCACAAGGACCATCTTTGCAAGTGTTACTCCGACACTTGATTTGTTCTCTTGGGGCAACCTTTTGCCCCTTAAGACCACTTGTCCATATGATGAGAATACCAACTCATCCTCTGAGTACACCCCCAACTCCTTGGGTTGTTCTAGCATTTATTAGAGGTAGCCCCTGTTACCATTTCGAGGACTTGTGTCCTTTTCTGTATTTGACCTCCCATGGTCATCAATTCCGGTTTCAAAGTTATGAGCACTAACCTCAACTATATGAGGGTAATCTTGTGACTTGTTTTAGAGTTTGCATCTTTCTTGTGATCCCAACTATAGTTGTTTACCACAACTATGTTAGCCTGTTTGCTGCATCAAACGCTCATTTAGATCACATCCTCACTCAATAAGAAAAGCCTTACACTATTCCCAAGATCCCAAAGTCATTCCATCATTGCCCCTTTTCTATCCACCACCTTGCCTACAAGTTCACACGTGAACTGTAGTGGAGAGCCATGTCTTCCCGACTTGCTACTCCTCAAGGACAAGCCCATCCTAGGACCTTCCGATGCCAACACTAGTGGTGATATATTTCAGCACCAATAAAAGTTAGATTAAAGAACAGCTCCGATACCAAGTTGTAAGTGATTAATTTTTCCATTCTACTTTAACCACTTAACCACACATTCGACCACTTGGAGGAGTCTTACTCACAACCTCCATAAGTTCTATTTCGGATTTGGGCTTGCTAGCCCCGAGAATGGCATCCCCGCCACTCAACCTTTGCACTTGGTCCAAGTGCTCCACATGTCTGATCCCTTGACCGACACTCAAAGGTACCACTGACATAGCAGCCTGTTACGCTAAAGCCATGCCCAATCACCTTTGCCGCACTAGTGGTCCAATACCACTTGCATCACAGTCCTGCCCCTCCAAGACTGGGCCAACCATCCATGAGTGGTCATCACAGATCCACTCTTTAGAATCCTTCGGATGCCCACCGACATGGAAAACAGCCTTCCCCACTATCCCTCTTTTAGTCCCAACCAAGTCCCGTCCTACCCATGGCCGTGTTCACCAACACTGCCACTAGATCAAGGCCCACAGGCCCGACCACTAAGTCCCAATGCCCTTTGGGACTTCCTCACCATGTGACTATGTACTTTGTCACTATGCCAAAGGTTTGCTCCTCTTCCTTTCCACAGTTTGGGACTTTAGGGCAACATTTCGGAACACCGTGGCCTTATGCGAGCCACTTGGGTACTCTCCTGGCCTTCCGCCTTTATGTGCTTTAGCCATGGGCTTAGAGCGAGGTTCTGTTGAGCCACGCCTGGTATCCAAGTAGGTAGTGCCACCCATACTTGGACTGGGAGCATCGGCCAGTCAATCTCCCGGGGGAACTAGAGCCGGCTCTTGAAAACTTCACCAAGCTACCCTACTTGTCGATTTGTGTTCACTCTAGCTTTAGACTTCTCAATGGGCAGCTCATCACCCAACAATGGGTACAACCTTCCTGGGCCAAACTGGCCTTTCCTGGCTAAACTGGCTCTACTGTAGTCCTCCCCTTTACTATACTTTTGGAGCTCACCAAACCCCCTAGGGATTGGGAGACGAACGCTTTGGGCTTTCACCCTCTCAAACTCGAACTCGGATTCGGACTCGGACTCGGCCTCGGCCTCGGTCTCGGTCTCAGTTCCGGTCTCAATCTCGGTCTCGGTCCCGGTCTCAGTCTTGGTCTCGGTCCTGGTCTCAGTCTCGACCTCAGACTCCATCTTGGGTCCATCTCGGACTGCATCTCGGGTCCTTCTCGGACTCCATCTCGGATTCCATCTCGGGTCCATCTCGGACTCCATTTTGGTCCATCTCGGACTTCATCTCGGGTCCATCTCGGGTCCTTCTTGGACTCCATCTCGGACTCCATCTCAGACTCCTTCTCGGGTCCACCTCGGACTCTATGTTGGACACTTCCACATGTCATGTGTTGGTCCTTTTGGGTCCCTTTTTGGAGCCTCACTTATTGCTCGCTTCATGCTCGTTCCTTGAGCACTCCGTTGGGAGTTCCACTCTTGCTCTCGACCTTTCAAATCGGAGCCTTTTAGTCCAAATGTGTTACGCTCGTTTGGCTTTTGCTTCGGCCACTACCACGTGGCACCCTTTCGGCTTCACTTTGGGGCTTAGGGATTTGTGTCTCACACAACTGCTGCTCTAGAGTTAAATGAGGAGTTGTTGATCTGCCATGAAGAGAAACGGAAAAAAAAGAGCAAAAGAAGAAAAATGACAAAAAGCTAAAAGGAAATGGTAGATCTAAATAATGCAAAAAGCTAAATCTAAACTAAAATCTTGAAAGAGAAGAATAAAAGAAAGGAAATGGAAAAAATTAGATCTAGATGATGCAAAAGCTAGATTTAAACCAAAATCCCAAATTTAACCACTCCTTAAGGACAATTAAAAATGCCTCTCATCTCCACCAATGTGAGTGATTGGAATATGAAAAGGGAATACAGAAAAGATGCATATTAATTAGCCCAAAAATTTTATATATAGAAGTGAGTGGTTTAAATTAAAACCAATCCGACAGCTACCAAAATCCCACTATGCTAATATTAATATACAGCATCGTAGCCGTACACTTAGCCCTCACAATAGTAATTTAGAGCTTTTAATTTGATTAAATAATGTTGAAAGTTTATTGCCAAAAAAAAAGATTGGTCAACTGGGTACATGCAATTAAAGACTTTCCAGAAGACACTGCATTTGAGAGTGACAAAAGTTTCTTCGTCTACTTCACCAACTCAGGCTTCTTCTCGCAGCTTCTCTGTGGCCAGTTGTTCCAGGGCCGACCTTGGTCTGTGCTCTGCCAACGATGCTTTGGTTTTTGAGAGCTCCGACGATCATTCGCAGAGACGCTCTACAAAGAGCCGCTCTGTAAACGGCTTGAAACCAGAGAAACCTCTCTCGGTGAAAAGGCCGTGAACTTCGCTTGAATAGTCGTAAGTTTTCAGCAGGCAGGCCTCTCGTGCTGCGCAAGGAAAGAAAAGAAATTATTTAAAGATGTTTGCTTTGTCTAGCAAAACCAATTGTCAGATTGCTGAAAGCTGCCTATTCCCAGCGAGTGGTCCGCTCCACCCAAGAAACCAGCTCTTCTCTGTGGCTTTCCAACCACTTGAGATTTGGAGAGCTGGCCCGAATCTCGAGTGGTTGGAAAGCCACAGAGAACCAAAACATAGCTAGCTCAAAAGAAAAAAAATACCAAACAAAGACTTCCAGCTTTGCAGAGAGAGACGACCTTACCGCACTTTCCATCGAGTCGTAGGGCTTTAGACTCCACAGCGACCATACGGCCGCCATGGACGATGAAATTCACGAGGATGGCCACGCTGCTTGGGAGCTAACGTCCTCGTCCTCCTCGCGGCTCTCTGTGAATCAAAGAAACTTTCTTCTTTAGCGAAAAAAAAGAGATGGCCGCGCCCTGGAAACTACGCAGCGCCATCGCTGTTACGCGCTACGAGAAAAGCGCAAAAAAAAAAGTTAATGGCGATTCCTTCTCTTTAGGGCTCCAGGGATGGCGACGCAGCTGCTCAAGCAAAAGCTCTTGGGACGGGGATTTGGGGTCAAGTTCTAGACAATTTTGGCAGTATGATGGCTTCTACGGCGTTGCGGACGCAGGCTAGACCACAGGATCCAGCAGGTTTGCAGGTCAGGTGTGAGTGAATATGCAGCCATCAATGCCATTGTCCGCGAGAGGCCATCGTACCTCAGCCATGACGTTCTACGAAGGTATTTGGAACGACGACCTCACTTTGTTAACGTTCGCCTTTGCGTCGACAGCTACAAGAGGAGACCAACGTCGATCGAAGCAGTCCAGGAAGAGGCAAGAACAGCAGGACTGTTTAGCCCGCCTCTGATTAAGTACATCAGGGCCAAGCCCAGCATACCCCGCGAGATTCGAGGGCCCGGGATCGAGAAAGTTTTGGCAAGAGGTGGTCTCTTGGGTGGAGCGGGACTTGTTGGATCGCTGAAGATGCAGGCGCGGCTGGTGTTTGATGCGCGGATGCTGGCGCACGAGTGGCAGGCACTGCTCGGTTTCGGGTGCTTCTCGTAGGAATCGCTGGTGGACAAGGATCCGAGCACACCAGATGTTGTTTTCGACGAACACTATGGCCCTTTTGTTCAGGAGAAGTACGACGAGCTGGTCGAGGACCTGGAAGCGGGAAAGATGATCGTGGCGTGTGGTGGCTTCAACAAGCTTTCCGCTTGGCTGGGGAATGTGTGCGTGGATCTCTTCAACTTTCAGGTGGGGGGCGTGGAGGAGCTCATCAAGCAGTATGGTGAGCTCAGGTTCAAGGTGAATCTCAAGAGAAGACGAGCTCATGATTGCGAGTAAGGCGAGAGCAATTCGTCTTGGATGAGGGAATTCTTCAATTTTGTGCCACCCTCGCATACAAGAGCCCTAATCGTGATCTTTGGGGCAATTCAAATTTTCGCGCCAAAACTCAGCTTTTTAGAGCATTTTGATAATTTACACCAGTGTTGTTAATTTGGAGCGTAGTATCCCCCAGTTCCATTCTGGCCGGGCTGTGGAGCGGGAATTCCATACTGTGCGCCAGCGTACTGCGGGGTATACTGCGACGCCATGGTCGCGATTCCAGCGTACGCAGCCGAGTAAGCTGGCACGGCGGTGTGCGGACTGAAGCCCAAGATGGTCCCCGGCGGCGGTGGCCTCGCGTAAGCTGGGATGTTTGGATTCACTACGTTGTAGCCGGGCTGTGCTTGCGGACCTTGGCTCGGGGCCGATACCTGTGGAGCTTTCTCTTTTTGGCCCTCGGCCGCCAGCTTGACGATAACATGGCGTCCCTGGAGAGAGGAGAGAAAAGTTCGCTCACGCTAGAAAGGACAAGAAAGCTGTGACTTACTTCGATCGTCTTGTTGGGATCGTCGATGGCGTTCCTTGCTGCTTCCACGGTTTTGTAAGTGACGAAGGCGAAGCCCCTGGAAAACAAAGCCGTGCTCGTAAGTTTGGAATGAGGAAATCGACTGGGAAGTAGTGTTTCACCTTGATTTGTTGGTGTTCTTGTCGTAGGCCACAGCGCCCTCCTCTATCTCGCCGTATTTCGAGAAGATGTTTAACAACGTCTCGTTTGAGGTCTCGTATGATAAGCCCCCGATGTAGAGTTTCCTTTGCGCTTGATCGTTGGTGCCTCCGCTTCCTGAGGTTCCCACTGAGGCCAAGTTACAAACCGTAATCCTTCCCTGCGGAGATCGATCAACGAGTGTAAATGCCTCGGCAAAGAGAATATAAAAACTTACATCGATCGTTTTGCTGGGTTCTTTCAAGGCTCTCTGTGCCGAGTCCATATGCTTGAACGTGATAAATCCAAATCCTCTCGACTTGCCAGTGGCCTTGTCGATGATCACAGCTCCTTCCTCAATCTCCCCGAATTGCTCGAAAGCCTGCAAAGCATCCAGCAAGAGCATCAGGCATCCAGCGAGAGAAGCAAAGAAACTTTAAAGACTATGGCACGACCAAGAACACCAAGTTCATGTTCAAGCCAGCCACCAACCCATGCATGAAAAAACACTCACTTCACGCAGATCCTGTGAAGTAGTCTCCCAAGCCAGCCCACGCACAAAGAGCTTCCGATGAGCAGGATCTTTGCTCGCAACTTCTCTAATATCATCTGCAACCGCAGAGTATTGAGAACCTCTGCAGATACAAAAACCCACAAGGACAAGCATTCCCAGTCAATCCATCCAGAAAAATCCAGGATGAAAAAAAGAAGAATGAGGAGCAAATCAAACACAAATACTCCACCAATGTCCTTCGAAACAAGAAAAAACCAGTCCACAAGTAAAACCATAACACCATCGCTGCCCTCTCTTTGCGGAATTCGGATCCAAATCGAAGCACAAAGGTGGAGTACCGGTATGATCTGAGAGAAAAGAAAGAGAAAGAAACGAGCGAGAGAGAGAAGAGAGGCCTTACGCGTCGGTGAGAAGTGCCACAAGCTGCTCCTTGCTCAAGGGCTCCAGCAATCGCTTCAAATCGTCCCGAGACAAGCGCAGCGGCACCGGCGCCTCGTATCCCTCCATTGGCGCATCGTGAAGATCCGACTCCTCCTTGATCTTGCGCTTCTTGGAATCCTCTTGGTGCTCCATTGCCCAAGAACCCTAAACCTAAAAACCTGAAACAAAATAACAAATAGAAGGGGATTTTTAAATTTAGGATAGATCGAAGAACACTTTCTCAGCTCGCGTAGTAGATGCTCGATTGCCGCTGCTGCATCTCCTCCACGAAGAAATCCATCTCCCGGGAGTCCGCCATGGATTTCACCGCGTACTGGAGCATGCTGGAGAGCTCGCTGAGATTATTCTCGGCCCGGGCCACCATCGCCATCCACTGCTGGTACTGGAGCCAGCGCCTCATGTTCCTGGATCCCAGCTCCTGCTCGCAATCGATCGAGATCTCGTCGTCAGCGCCAAGATTTACCGAAGAGATCCTTGGATCGCCATCGCCGGTGAGGGCGACGCAAGAGAGCCGCGGTGGGGGAGATTTTGCCCCGGATTTCTTCGCCGATCTGCGAGCGCTGCTGGAGAGGGACGACGATCTGGACAGGCGGTTCTTCCCAGCTCCGGCCAGCTGACCGAAGATCTTCTTCATGATCCCAGGGCCGCTGTTCTTGCCCGGCGAGCCGGCAAGATCGATGTCGAGGCTGCGCTGGTCGAAATCCTTGCTGTGCTGCTCGAAATCCTTGGTGGTGGTGGGGAAATCCGAGAATTCCGAGGGGAGAGGGCTCGTCGCGCGGCTCACCGAGCACGCATTGAGCTGCCGCGCGGTTGCCGAGCGCTTGAGCTGGGGCTGGCCGTCGAAAAGAGGGGAGATTGTGGAGAACTCGGACGCCATGGGGCTGGTGGCCCTGCTGATCGAGCTTGCGAGATTCCGAGCGATTCCAGACCTCTTGTAGCGCTGGCTGCCAAAAACCGGGTAGCCAGAGCTCCTGGGGAGCGATCGGCCGCTGTTGTTGAGGATCCGGATGCAGTGCTCCCACGATAGATCCTCCGGCACCGCGAGGTCGGGGACGAATCCATCGAAGGCCGGCGCTGGGACTGGAGTGGGATTCCAGTGGATCGGCGACGAGCGGCAGCTGGAAATATTGTCGAGAACCACTGGCGGCATCGCGCGTGATCGATCGACCTTGGCGGACGCGACCGGCCAAGAAGCGAGAGACAAAGAAAACGAATTTTCCCCCTCCACAGGTCATTCGAAAACGGGGCAAGAAAATCTGATCCGTTGAAATCATGCCGCCGCCACGTGTCACAACCGCAAGAAAGGAATATCCGACGATCCCAAATTTTAGGGTTCTTGGGGAAAATGGCAGTAGAATGGATGCTCGTCACTGGCTCGATCTGGGGCACCACGAATGCGCTGATGAAGCGAGGGACCTCGGCGCTGGATCGCCGGAATCGGCAGCTCGGCGCGCGTCAATCGGGTGGAGATTCGTGGCTAGGCGCGGTTGTAAGAGATTGGATCCTCCTCCTGTGCACTTGGGAGTATAGCTTGCCCCTGGCGATCAATCTCTCGGCCTCTCTCGTGTTCTTCGCCAAGCTCTCCGAGAGTCCTCTCTCCCTGGCAGTGCCCATCACCAATGCCACCACATTCGCCGCAACCGCTGTGGCCGGGAGCGCGCTAGGCGAGCGCCTCCGGCTCAAGCAGACCGCGCTGGGATTGCTTCTCATCGTCGCAGGGATCTGGCTGTGCTGCCACAGCGCTAGAGATTAGCCATCAACTGGTAAGAAGTAGCGATCTTACTGTCGATCTCCAGGCACTTCTCGAAAGCCAGCCTTCCAAGGCTTGGGTTCTTCCACTTGGAGCACCAAGTCAGTATCGTCGTCCAAGTCACTGCTGTCGGTTTGAAAGGCATCGTTCTCGCGAAGTTCATGGCCTCGTCCAGATGGTTCGTCCTGCCAAGAAGATCGATCACGGCGTGGTAATGCTCGATCTCGGGAGACACTCCATACCTCCTTTGCATCGCCTGGAAGATTTGCTTCCCTTGGGTGACCAGCCCGGCATGGCTGGAGGCCGTGAGCAAGCACAAGAGGGTGACACCGTCTATGCTCAAGCCATTGTCCAGCATCTCGTGGAAGATCTGGAAGACCTTTGTGGAGCCATCCTTTCCCTGGCGGCACAGCCCTGCCATGAGCGACGTGTGAGCGACAGCGTCCGGTGAAAGGAGCGACAGGAATACCTTCTCGGCGTTGTGAGCGCTGCCGCATTTTCCATACACGTCCACCAGCGCGTTTGCTACGAGCTCTCCATGCTCCAAGCCATGCCTACAAATCTCGCCGTGAATCACTTTCGCCAGCCGCGAAGCCACAGCCTTACCACAAACTTTGAGAAGAGCGACGTAGGTTCGAGCGTCCGGAGCACAGCCATGGCGACGCATCCGGACATAGATCTCCAGAGCCTGTTCTTCGTTGCCGCTGGAGTCCGCGTGGGCGAGGATAAGCGCCGTCCACAGCACCACGTCGTCGAAGAAACGGGCTCTCTCGAAAACCACGCGAGAATCGTCCAGGCTCCCACACTTCGCATACAAATCGACCAAGGAGCTCGTCACGTACCTGTCTTGGCAGCCACTCTTCACGCAAAGAGAATGCAAAGCCATAACTTTCTCCAAAGCCACCACCTTGCTCATTCCATCGTCCAGCTCGAGAGGATTTTCCCTTTCTTCCGCGGCAAGAGCAGCGATGGCTTTCACTGCGGCAAGAAAAGTCCGGGGATTTGGAGAGCATCCCTGGCGCTGCATGAGCTCGAAGAGCTGCAAGGCCATCTCTCCCTGCGAATTCTCTGCAAATCCCAGTATCAGCGACGTCCAAGAGACCACATCCTTGTAAGCCATGCCGGAGAATACCTTGCTTGCGTCAACCAAGCTTCCACACCGCGCGTAAGCGTCCAGAAGCGCGTTTGCGACGAAGATGTCCACTCCACAGCCAGTTTGATCGATCACAGCGTGGAGAGCCACGACGCTCTCCAGCGCTTTGATCTTCACGAGCTCGTCACCGAGAGGTTGCATCGCTTCTTTCGCTGCAAGACGAGAGCAAGCTTTTAGAACAGCGACGAAAGTCCGGCCATTCGGCTGGCAATCTCCTCCAGCTCTAGCCATGGCGGCAAACAAATCTAAAGCTAGGAGCTCCTCCTTGTTCTCTACATACCCTTGGATGAGCGCTGTCCAAGAAACCACGCTGTGGCACGGCATGGCGTCGAAGATCCGGCGCGCCTCCCTCACGCTGCCACATTTGGCGTACATGCTCACCAGGCTGCTCGCCACGAACGGATTCGCAGCGGCGCCGCTATCGACAGCATGGCTGTGGATGGATCTTCCCCGCTCCAGATCCCTCGCCATGGCGCACAGCTTGAGCGCCGCGAGGAGATTCGACGTCTCCGTCCTTGGCTGGAAGGGCGGCGCTGCGCCAGCGGCATCGAATCGAGCTGCCAAGGAATTGCCTGGCGCCATTGAAATATTGTTTTGGCGCTTCTCTCAAGAACCCTAAAATCTTAGCTATGGTGAAGAACTGGTCGGAGCGCGTGGAGGAGCTGCTGGACGAGGGCAACAGCGATGGCGCTGCGCAGTTCTTGCAGGGCGTCGTGGACGAGATGCAGAGCTCGCAAGGCGCGGACGCGAATCTCTCGCTGGCTGCGGCTATGCAGGATCTGGGGGCGCTGTACGAGCGGCAGGGCTTGTCGATCAAGGCGGATTCGCTGCGCAGCTCCGCCATTGTCATCCGGCACAGATTAAACGCGTAAGTAGCATGAATTCTCTGTTTTCTCGGATGATTCTAAGAATTTCTCTGCAGAAGAAGCGATGCTCCAAGCATAGACAAGGAAGACGAAGAAGAAGAAGGTACTAGGTAGACTTCAAAATCACAATTGGAGAGAATAGCGGAGATCTGAAAGCTTGCTTTGCGTCACAGAGTGGGAGAAAGCCGCTCACGACATCCCTGGCAGCTCATCAAATCCACCACCATCGCGGAGAGCTCCATCGCCTCCTCGAATCTCCCAACTTTCTTTGAGCGATCCAACTCCCAAGCGTCGGTCCAACTCCAGAGAAAACGCGAGAGAAGCCGAGGAGGAGGCCGAGGACGTAGCTCCCAAGCAGCGTGGACGCGGGGCATTTACTTACGGAAGAGAAAGAGATGGATTCCACAGCGACCATACGACCGCCATGGACGATGAAACTCACGAGGAGCTCACTACATCTTCTGACGACATCGATGGAAAGTCCCGTAAGTTCGTCTCTCTTTGGATGATCAAAGGTGGAAATGCTTAACATTCTTTTGTTGTTTTGTAGTCGTTTATGGAGCTAGCCATGTTTTGGTTCTCGGTGGCTTTCCTCCCAAGACAACCACTCGAGATTTGGAGCAGGTCGTCATGCCTTACGCGAGCCGCGGCGTGGTGATTCGCTGGGTAAATGACACCACTGCCTTGGCTGTTTTCCGCAATCCAACAATCGGTTTGTGTGACTCAATGTCTAGATCTCTCACTGATTTTCTTCTTTCCTTGCGCAGCACGAGAGGCACTCGCAACAATCCGCCACCCAACGTACGTGCTCAAAACTTACGACGATTCAAGCGAAGTTCACGGCCTTGTCACGGAGAGAGGTATCCAGTTTTCTCTCTGGTTTCAAGCTTTCTACACTTTGTACAGACTTGGAGCCTCCGACGCCGAGGCCAGCGACATCCGCCCGAGCTGCTCAGCGCATGATCGTCGGAGCTCTCACAAACCAAGGCATCGTTCGCGGAGCACAGACCAGGGTGAGATTCACGGCCCAGGAGCTGCAAAAGCAAGAGGAGGAGCGCAAGCAGCGCTTGCTGGCCAGAGAGAAGCTGCGAGAAGAAGCCTGGGGAGGCGATTGATTCACACATACAGCACTAATCTACATCTCTTCACTCCTCAAGCCTGCTGAGAGTCGAAGGAATAGACCCCAAGTCTTCTCGACTTCCAAGGCTGCTAATAACAACGCTGATCTCTGGTAAGCCTTGGATCTCTGGGACGGCTTGGTTGGATACGTCATGTTAATCCCACAAAGACGAGTCCTTTTTTGGACGAGAATCTGGCAATGGAAGGTCCTGTGACGTAACGATAGTGTCTACTTTCAGGAGTCTTCTCTACAATCAAGGAGCTCTGCTGGATTGCTTTTTTCTGTTTTGATGGCTTACATGGTGTTGCTATCCAGCCTTTCGCAGAAGCATTCAAGACTAAGAATCGAAGCGCATACGCTGCAAAACTCTTTATCTACGAGCTGTCAGCAAACTAGATCTCCTTCTGTAACCAACTACATCCACAAGGTTTGTGTTCTATGCTTTTCTTTTTTCAATTCTTCGTATGATCCCCTGGCTTGTTTGATTTTTTGGTTTTATTTTGTTAGGATACTAATGTAAAAATGGAAGCTGGTGAGCAAAATTAACCACATGGAACCCTACATAGCAATGTGGAGACCTATATGGATCTCCCAGAAATGAAAGCTTTGGGGGAGCTTCAAAAGAGAGTAAAGTTGATGAGAGAGAGAGAGAGAGAGAGAGAGAGAGAGAGAGGTTTTTGCAAGATAGGTGGAGTTTTCCTTACTTTAATGTGACAGAGCTAAATTGAAGATCAAGGAAGATTAAAGATTAACATCTAGTAAACGAATAAGTAGCATTACTTTAGTTTCACAAGCAAAAACTGCTCAAAGCATCACTAGAAGAAGAAACTTGATTGAAAATCAATTTTTTGGTGGAAAAAGGACATGTATGTTTTTTTGGCGTCATTAGCATTAGACCAGGGTTTCTTGCAAGCATGGAAAGAATCACCCCAATTTAAAGATCACTAAAAAGGAGTGTAGTGGAGAGAGGAACCATTTAATATTATGTGTGATCAAATAATATAGGTATCATTTATGCTAAGAGATAAAATTATTGACATTTGATTTTGTTGGGGAATTTCAAAGATTGTAAATTGGGCAGCTTAACCTTGCTTATTTCATCGTTGTTTCCAGCTTCAAATATAATTCTGGAATCTGGTGGCTCACATCATGATTGCAATCTTTCTAGCCTCATTTATGAACCTACAATAACTAATTCCTAGAGAGAGTTTTTTTCATATGAAAAGTGACCCATTTTTGAGAACCTTGAACTGGAACTGAAGCTGGCGGAGGGGCTAGCGCATGATAAACTATACAAGAAGCAAACGGTAAATGAGCAATGAATCTTGAGCACGTGATTACCAGGCGCAGGAGGCTGAGCATAGGCCCAGCTAAAAAAATAAGAAGAGAAAAAGAAAACGCTTAGAACTGGGAAGAACCACCACCTTGAGAAGAAGATCAAAAGGCGGAATACGCCAGTGTCCGTCTTTTGCACTGGTTTTGGGAATACAACAGCTCTTGACCAGCTGACTTTCTTCCCCCGAGTTGGCTTTCACCTCTAGTTGAACTTGTAACATGCTGCGCAAAGACAAAAAAATTCTTTACAGCAATCGGGTCTCCAGAATTAGCTTTCCTTGTCCCTGTTGGATTCTTCGGCCAGCAGATCCTCCATTTTCTTGAGAAGCGCCTCCTTGTGAGACTGACGTCGTTTAGAAAGTCCGCCTTGTTCAACTCCAACACAGCCAAAGGCGATGGCTCACTTGTAAAGGTGTGGAGTTTAGCTTGCGATTCATTCACGGTTCTCGAGCTCTTCTGCCTGCTGCAACGCTTTTCTTCCTCAAACTGACGCTTCATTGTTGCCGCTCATTATAAGCTTAAATAACTCTCGTACTACTCCACAGATTGATGTTATATTCATTCAGTCATTCATTGGCGCCCACCAAGAAGCATGAGATTGACGGATTATAGTAAGCTGTTTTGATGATTTCAGTGAGCCGTTCGTTTGTTCGCTGAGCTCTTCCAGATCTTGCCTTCTGTCCCCGCCCTTACACTCAACCCAAACACACACAAAAACAATAAACAAGCAGGAGAAGAAAAATAAAAAAATCTTTTATAGCTTAGAAAGGCCAGCCTTAATCATGTCCTTCCTAACTTTCCCCGTTGACGTCACAGGAAATGGATCCTGCCGTTGAACGATGAGTTTTGGGATCTTATATCTGTGATAATCACTTCGGTCAATCATGCATCAAGCCTTGAATCGCAGAGTCACCTCGAAAGCCCCTGCTTGCTGCAATGCAGCCGTAAATCACTTTCAGAAACCGTCATGGGATGCTCGCTTATTGACCATGTCCATCCGTCGTGAAGCCTCACCACGGCAGCAACGATCTCGCTCAACCGCGACTCAGGGACGCCAACAACAGCCACAGAAGAAACCGATGGATGCTGAGAAAGAACCATCTCCACCTGCGGCAGGCATGAGTGTTTTTCATCGATGGAAATACGCACTCACCTCTGAGGCGTATACGTTTTCGCCACCAGTTTTCACTACATCTTTCGCTCTGCCCAGCAGCCACAGATTTCCAGCTTTGTCTATCTTTCCAATGTCTCCAGTGTCAAGCCAGCCATCCTGCTGCAGAACACCTGCTGTTTCTATGGTTTGTCCCCAGTAGCCATGCATAACATGAGGCCCCCGGGTGAATATCCGACCATCTTTTATCCCGACTTGTACGTGAGGAGGCGGCTTCCCAACACACGAACCCACACCAAGTGGGACATGTCCATCAAGCCGTAAAAATGTCATGGAAGAACACGCTTCGGTCATTCCTGGACGTGGAACAAAAAGGCTTCAGCAGCTACTGAAGAAAGCAAACGTGTTTTACCATATGCAGAGAAGAGCCGTGCATTTGGGAAAGTTTTCTTGACAGCAGGAAGAAGACGCGATGGAACTGACCCGCCACCGTTCAGAATTGTTAGCATGCTGGGGAAAACTTGATCACTTCCACTCTTTCTGAAAATGCTTTGTTAGAAAAGAAGATCTAAGAAGATAGACATGGACTCACCCAGGCTCCAAAATGTCTCGCAGCATTGTCGGCACTACAATCATTGTAGAAATCTCGTAGTCTTTCAAGGCTTGGAGGACGGCACTAGTCTCAAACTTCGGGAGAAAAAGCTGCTGGCTTCCAGCCATGACCATGGCCAGCACAGAAGAAATCCCACCTATGTGGCAAAGTGGTGCAGTATGAAGATAGACCTGATAGAAACACTTAATCAAGACCAGAAACATATAACGTTTGTAGAGGAGAGTGTACCTCGAACATACATCCATGCTCGAATAACCAACAATGGCAAGCTTTGCCAGGGACTGCGCAACCAAAGCCCTGTGAGTGAGGGACACTCCTTTAGGTGTTCCAGTGGTTCCTAAAACCAAAACATGCAAAGTTATGTCCTACACAAAGTATGTCAAAGCTGGGAACAGCAAACCCGAAGTGAAACAAATCAAAGCAATGTTGTTAGGAGCGAAACACAGATCCAGATTTGTTTCGGTCTCTCCATTGCAACGCATTATAGACTCTCCACGAAGAGCTGCCATGAAGGAGAGATCCTCAAAAACGAGAGGAAAAAGAAAAACTTACTCTCGCAATCTTCTTCTAAAAAAACTTGCATCATCCACGGATATAGTTCACTTAGAGGCTCACCCCAGTGCCGGCATTGCTCATCCAAAACGAGAATCGCAGGCCGGACAAGCTGGATTGCGGCATTTGCTTCATCAAAACTCTAAAGAACAGCGTCACAAGTATCCAAGAGAGAAAAGAAAAAAAGAAAGCTCATACCCATCTATAGTTAAGAGGTGTAACGATTCCACCAGCGCAGGGCACTGCCAGCATCCATTCAAGATAGTATTCGCTGCAAGAGAAAAACAAATCGACTGTCCCAAGATTCTCTAAGAAGAAATCACAAACCTCGTAAGGGCTGCAATCGCGACGCGCTCCCCGTATTGGATCAATTCCCGCAATCCCTTGGAGAGGGCAGCGACGCGCCGGAAGAAATCCGCCCTGGATCTCCCGCTAGACAAGCTAAAGATCTTGCGCGACGACGCCATCGCGCGCAGCATCGCGCCAATGTGCGCGTCCTCCTCCACCTCCCGCGCTTCCATCCTCCTTGAAAGAAAAAGAGAACGATAGGGTTTAAGCGATAGAATGCCACCCAATAAACACGCGCCACGCGTCAGCCGATGAGTTCTGTTAGGTTTGGTTAAAATATTTTTTCCTCTCGGTGTTCGACTGCAATGGCTTCTAATCTCCAATTGGTTGCTCATCTTGTCTTTCTTGAGCAGTCATAATGAAACACATAATATATCACAATCACAAATATTATATCACAAAGACTCGAACCCCTCTGATACCAATGAACATGTAGAATGGGAAGGAAGATTTCGAAAAACATTCACGAACTTAGCTCTAACCGAAAGAAGCAACACAATACGAGAAAAACGAATGAAAGCGAGAACAATCCAACGTACGTGCTAAAAGGTTACGACGTCACGTTAAGCTTTTTCAGTGATCGGTCACTCTTCGTGCAGACTTGGAGCCTCCGACGCTGAGGCCAGCGACATCCACCCAATGATAGTCGGAGCTCTCATAAACGAAGGTATCGTTCGCGGAGCACAGATCAAAGTGACCCAGGAGCTGCAAAAGCAAGAGGGGGAAGCAAGCAGCGGGAGAGAAGTTGCGAGAGAAGTCGATTGATTTAAACATATGGCACTAATCTACGTCTCTTCACTCCTCTAGCCTGCTGAAGTAGAGGCCCGAGACTGGCCAGAGATCAGCGTTGATATTAGCAGCGTTGGAAGTCGAAAGACCTTCGTCTTGGATCTTTGGGAGTCCCTGCTTGGTTGGATACGATGGGTTCATGTTGATCCCGCAAAGACCAGTAGAAACTCCAGTGTCTCGTTGCATATAAACGTAACCATCGTCTCCCCACTCGGTCCCCCATGAGTTCTTGACGATCCAGTACTTCTTTCCGTCGCTGGTAATGCCATATCCTACGATCGTCACCGCGTGATTGAGGTCGGTTCCACAAGAGCTTGTCAAGATTCCCTGTCATGACAAAATCATTGCACCTTTGTTACTGAGAAGGAAAAACTTACTGATTTGTAGAACTTGAAAGCGGGACAACCTGCGTCGATCATCACGCTCACGGGCTGATGAGCGACGGCCTTCTTCAGGGCCTCCTCGTTGTTTGGAAGAACATGCTCGTAGCCATCGATTGTAAAGTCCCTCTACAACAGACAGCAGAACAGAGAGAGTGTGATCAGCTTAGAACTTATAAAGGGAGTGCCCCTAAGGAAGAAGCAAGTTTTGTTCCGGAAGTTGAGGCCAAACCCTTCACTGTCTATGCCACCATTCTCGATGATGAACTCGAAGGCCTTATCGTAGTGACCGAGATCGTTTTTGCTGCACTTGAAGAACGCCTCCTCGAACAGACACTTGCGTCGCAATGGCATTGGCACCTTCGGCTGCTGCGGCGGCAGAGAAGACCACCGAGCTTCCTGTCATAAGTTCCAGGTGGTGAAAACATAGAAAAGAAAAGAAAAGGAAGTAAGTTACCATGTGAGCCTGATCGAACCGGACAGACTGCTCCTCTTGTCCGCCAGTCGACAACCTCCGGGAGGGACTCTGCGGCCGAGTGACTGAAGCTGCCAAACGGTTCTCGAGGCGTGATGGTCGTCAAGAACCTCTCTCGAAACTCTGCATTAGTCAGATATGCGAATTTGTTGGCCTCGAGAACATAGTCATTCTGCTTCTGATTTTCCGCCTGGATAAACTTTAGGTTGTCTAAGTGTGTCTTCTTTATCTCTTCGTGGCAATAACTCTCGTCCTGCTCCCAAGTCGGAACGCGAACAGACACAGAAACAATAGACAAGCACGGTTCTCCATAATCCTAAGAAGAATAAAAAAGGACGACGAAACCTTTTATAGCTTAGAAAGGGATCCTGTTCCTATGATCCACGCATATGCCCAATGCGGGCACTTGTCGGGAGTGTTTGAGCTGGCCACCGAAACCTTCCAGTGCATGCTCTTGGACGGCAGCAGGCCAAATTCACGATTGTCCTCGGTGCTTGCAGCCCTAGGGTTAGGTCAATGGAGTGTGGAGAGGATGATCTTCCCGACGATGTGCTCGCCCGGATCCTGTCTCTAATCGTCTCCTCGCGCCACTTGTATTGGTGCAGTCTGGTGAGCAAGAGGTGGGCGCGCCTGGCAAAGCTCGTCACACATTTCAGCCTGGAGGATGAGCAGCACGGCTTCCTTTCCTGGTTTGACAGCAGCGCCAGCAATCTCCGCTCCTTGTCCGTTCACAGCGCTCCACGCTCTTCCCTTGGCTGGCTACCGGCGATCGGAAAAACTCTTCACTCCCTTACGCTCAGCGTCGATGTGGATGGCTTCTGGTCCAGCATTGTCGCCTGCCAGCAGCTGCGGTGCCTCCACATCATCAACGATGTCAAGCTTGGCGGCGCGATCACCACGACGACGCCAGCGGCTCCAATGCTTCCCAGTCTCGTCTACTGCGTCATGCTCACAGGCTTGGACGTGGGCACAATGCAGCAGCTCCTCGACTTGTGCCCCTCGCTCGTCTACATCCAGCTGATGCTGCTGCTGGTGGAGTCGCCCGGGACGTATTTGCTCAAGAGCCACAGCCTCGACTGTCTTGCATTGCGTGGCAAGAGCGTCGCCAACTTCTCTCTCGCCCTGGACATGCCCAAGCTCAGGTGGATGTCCGTCAGCGCGGTGCCGCGCCTGGAGCTGCGCCTGGAGCTCTTGCCGTCTACGTGCAACGTCGAGTGGATCAAGCCGCACACGGGCGTGCGGATCATCCAGGGCCTGCGCACGTCCAAGCTCAACAAGTTAACGTTCACAAACACCTGCCAAAGCGCTGCCGATGTCACGCAAATTCTCAAGCGTTTTGTTTGCCAACCGTCGGCCGTGAGTGGCATCACGCGGCTTGACTTGTTTGTGAAATCGTCCATCTTCGACCCGGGGTCCCTCAACCTTGCGCAGCTTCTGGAGCCATTCCCCGCCCTGGAGGTGTTCACACTTTCTCACTCGTCCATCAAGGTAACTTTTACATTCTCTTGACAGCTTCTCTGCATTGAAGACGTGGTATATGATCCTCTAGTGCTTGAGCCTCGACAAGTGGAGCAGCAGGGAGGTTCCATTGTGTGTCCGCATTGAGGTGGCCTGCGGAATAGCGGGGTGGGCGCGCGACGAGATCAGCTTTGTGCGGGAGCTCGTGGAGAGCAGCAGCTGCGTGACACGCCTGGACGTGAGCGGGGTTGTGTACGCTACCAAAAAGCCGCCCAAGTTTCGGACCCAGATACCTCGCGCGATCGTCAAGCTCGGCGGGGAGTTCCCAGGGCGTGTCAAGGTCCATCCCATCCGGTTTGTGCCGCGGCGCTGTGATGTCGTCTGGCGCTGCATGAAGGCCAAGTTCGATTCGGAGGCGCCTTACACTGCGATCCACCATCGGTGCACTTATTTTGACGACACCACGGAGGTGTGCGTATGAGTGGTCTTTTTTTTGTTTTTGATCATACTGCTGTAAACCCGTTTAGGGAAAAAGTAGCAGCTAACATAACTATGCCTAGAATATGCTAATATAATGTGCAGCAAGGAGAGACCATGGAACTGTCTCCAACGATTCCTTGCTACTGCTCAAATTTGTCTTGGAGAATGTTATGTGTACTTCAATCTTTCTAGATCTCACACGTTATTGAGTCTCGCAGCATGGATGTGAGCATGTCTACCATAAACTCGAAGCAAAGAGATGAAGGTTTTCTTTCTCGCTCGTTCATAGTTTCTTTTCTCTTGTTTTCCCCTGCCAAATTGGAACAGGCCAGGTAGCAGTCGTTGGTTTTCCGAATGTAGGCAAGCATCAATCGGCTCTTGAAACACAAAATATGTGAAGCTGCACCAAGGTAAAGCTTTGATGTCTATTCTCATTTATAATGATACGCACAAACATCGTTCCATGCAGGTGGTCGATGGCCTAGACCTTTTAGATTCGCCTGGGATCCTACCTGTGGAGCTATGGAGTGAAGTTCAACGACCAGGCTGCAGCGGTGAAGCTCGCGATATGCAATGATATTGGACAAGAATCATACCAAGTTACGGGTGGTGCTTGTCGAGAGATTAAAGCGCTTGCCAATTCTGTTTGTTCCTCGGCAATAACATCTGACAAAACCATGGAGGAGACCTCTCGCTACAGAATAGACGCGGAAGATTTGCTCGTCTCGTTTCAAGGCTTGATGCTCCCGCATTGGATCAATCCTTGCAATCCCTTGGAGAGGGCGGCGACGCGCCATCCGTCCTCGATCTCCCGCTAGAGATTGCACGACAGCGCCATGGCGCGGAGCATCGCGCCAATGTGCACCTCCCGCGCTTCCAACGCCTTGTAAACAAAAATGCGATAGGGTTTAAGTGAGAATGCCAGCCAACAAACGACCGCCACGCGTCAGCCGATGAGCTACAGGGCCCAGGCTCTCAAGGAGCAAGACTATTTCGCCCACCTCCTCAAGAACGCCAAGAACACTCTGCGCATCCGGCAGCTCCACGCCCAGATCCTCCACACCAGCCACCGCGGCAACACATTCCTGCGAAATCTCGTCGTCGCGAGCTACGCCCAATGCAGCAGCGTCGAATCGGCGCGCCAGGCCTTCGATTCCATCCCCTGCCGCAATCTCTTCTCCTGGAACATCCTCGTTGCCGCATTTGCCCAAAATGGGCACCTGGAAGAAGCAAGATCGATCCACGACCTGGCGCCAGCGCGCGATCCAGTCGCTACCAATGCGATTCTTGCGGCCTACGCGCAATGCGGCCGCGCGATCGACGCAAAAGAGACCTTCGATTCTATGCCCCACAGAAACATAGTATCTTGGAATACCCTAATCCAAGCAAATGCCCAAATCGGGGATTTGCAAATCGCTAAGGCTGTCTTTCAAAGGATGCCACAGTGTAACGTTGTGTCTTGGAATGGGATTATCACTGGCTACTGCCAAATAGCCCAATCCACAAACGCAAAAGTACTCTTCGATCTAATGCCCGAGAGAGATATCACGTCTTGGAGTCCTATGATCCACGCATATGCCCAATGTGGGCACTTTGAAGAAGCCAAGGAGCTGTACGGAAAGATGCCCAGCCACGACGTTGTCTCAGCCAGCGCGATGATCACGGCGTACGGCTTGACAAGCTCTTGGGAGGAGGCCAAGTTTATCTTTGAAAACTCTCGCGAGAAGAACGTCGTGCTGTGGACGGCGACCATGGTGGCTCTCGGGCAGGCCGGAGATCCTCACGGAGCCGCCGAGTTCTTCCGCAAGATGCCCGAGCACGGCCTCGTTCCCTCCACTGCCATTGTCACTGCCTTCGCCCAGAACGGCCGCTCCGCCGATGCTAAGGAAGTCTTCGATCTAATGCCGCGGAGGAACATAGTTTCCTGGAACACGATGATCGTCGCAGCAGCGGCGGCGGCGGCGGCAACACCCAGTGACGCTCGAGAAGTGATGTCGAGGATGCCGCAGCACAGCGTTGTCTCCTGGACAGCCATGATCGTCGCCTTGTCGCAGCACAAACTCTTGTCCGAGGCTCGAGCAGTGTTTGACAGCATGCCGGAGAAGAACATCGTCTCCTGGACCGCTCTCTTGCAAGCGTATGCTCTGGGCATGGACGTCGACCGAGCACTGTCCCTGTTCGAGGAGATGCCGGAGCGTAACTTGGTTTCCTGGAACTCGATGCTTGGAGCCTGTGCTCAGTCGGGAGAGTTTCAGCTGGCCATTGAAACGTTCCACCGCATGCTCTTGGACGGAAGCAGGCCAAACGAGATCAGCTTCACGATTGTCCTCGGTGCTTGCAGCCATGGCGGCTGCCTGGACAAGGGCCGGGACTACTTCTCGTCGATGGTCGTTGATCACGGCGTCCAGCACGAAAAGGAGCATTACTATGCCATGGTTGACGTTCTCGGACGAGCTGGCCGGCTGTCCAAGGCGGAGGAGCTGATCAAAACCATGCCTTTCGTGCCTGAGTCTGCGCAGTACGAAGTTCTTCTCGGTGCGTCTACTGTCCAACGTAATGCTCAATTCGGAGGCCGAGCAGCTGAGGGGCTCATTGCGTTGGACCCAGGTAACAGTTCACCTTATGTTTTGCTCGCTAATATCCATGCCTCTACTGGTAACCGAGAACAAGTAGCCGCTTTGTGGGAGGCGATGAAGGACAAGGGCGTGAGAAAGCCTCCAGGAATGAGCCTGCCCGTGGACGTGTGACGCAGAACTTTATTTCTGGAAGGATTGAAACCAAATTGGAACACCACAAAAGAAGTTTTGTACACTGCACCGACTCGCAGGGAATTTTCTCTTGTCACAAGTGAACGCATTCCCGCTGCTGCTCCTCTCGAGATTCTTCTTATAAAAGTTGACCTGGATGCCATGCACGGCATCCCTTTTGCATCTACAAAAAAGAAAGAAAAAAATTTGATCAAACTTCAATCCAGTGTTGGTGGCGTGAGACAAATCTTGAAGCTTGTGTGTAATCTCCTAGTCAACTAGTCCATTTTATTCAACATGAGTGCACAGTGCTTAGTCGCTGCCAGGGATAACTCTTTATCGAAAAAAATCTATTCAATATGGAAGCGCATTCATGAATCTAGTTTAAACCTTTTGGATCCTGAGGAAGAGATTACCGAGCTGCGCATCTGGAGGCTGTCGCTTACTTGTTGCTTGTAGGACGTCTGTGAATAGTTTGTGTGCTCCCCGTGCTTTATTCGCGCTGCTGTTTCTTTAGCTAATGGAATCGACAAGAGATAAAATCATGAAAAAAATGGGAACGCCCAGAATCTGATTCTTGAGACTCGAATTGCTCCAATGCACGTTTCAAGAATCGCTTTCATTCAAAAGAGCCCACCAACCGATTCCTGCCCGGAGCGATTATCTGTGGCCAAGAGGAGCAGAGGGATCTCGTTTCATTCCAACATGATCAAGCACAAGCGGGAGCGATTACCAGTAGCCAAGAGGAGAAGAGGAATCTCAGGAGTTCTATTTCAGAACGGCAGCAGTAAACATCACAGCAATTTGCCTTGGCAGTTTGGGTTGGTTGGCTTCTCCTGCTTTGGCTGCCCCCCAATAGCACCAATGGCAGCAACCAGAAAGAGAGGTGCCAGGTAAAACATCTTGTTCGGGATCACACCTTTTGTGCTCCCAGCGGGGCCGGCTTTAGATGGCGCGGTGCGGCATCTAAACTTTTTAACGCAAATGCATGCAATGGTCGTGAAACAAATAACATGAAGGGTTTGGAAGGATTGGTGGCATATGCCCATTCACGGTACCTTGTTTGAATCTTTGCCGATGGCAGAAGACCCCACTCCACGAAAGCTCTTGGAGGAACCCATGTTTACCTTCGAAAACTCTCGAGCGTCACTGGGTGTTGCCGCCGCCGCCGCTGCTGCGTCGATCATCGTGTTCGAGGAAACTACATTCCTCCGCGGCAGACTCAGTGTCAATGGCAGTGGAGGGAACCAGGCCGTGCTCGGGCATCTTGGCGGCTCCGGCCGTCGAGAATGCCGCAGCACAGCGTTGTCTCCTTGACAGCCATGATCGCAGCACAAACTTTTGTCCGAGGCTCGAGCAGTGTTTGACAGCATGCCGGAAAGAACATCGTCTCCTGGACCCTGGACCGCTCTCCTGCAAGCGTATGCTGTCGGCATGGACGTCGACCGAGCACTGTCCCTCTTCCTGGAGATGCCCGAGCGTCCTGTGCTTGGGACAAGCTGGCCGGTTGTCCAAGGCCGAGGAGATGATTAAAACCATGCCTTTCTCTGCGCTGTCTGTACGAAGTTGTCTACTGTCCAACGTAATGGTCTCGGCAGTCTGCTGGCATTCAGCAGTCGAGGCTTTCAAAGCCACTCCTTTCTTCCCTTTCCTTCGAAACCATCTTCCAGTGCTGCGGTAACCGAGAACAAGTAGCTGCTCTGTGGCGTGAGGAAGCCTCCAGGAATGAGCCTGCCCGTGGATGTGTGACGCAGAACTTTATTTCTGGAAGGATTGAAACCAATCAATACTGAATTGGGCCATTTAAGCTGCCCTCCGCGAACTGTAACATAAACAAGGCCAACTCACTCAATCAAAGACCAAAATAATCGACACGAACCTGACGAACTATAGGATTGGAAGTGTTACCGAACTTGGAAGTCTCCCCTTCCCATACGATTTTACCATCGTGCAAGAAAAGTAGTCTAAAACACCGAGCATTAGTCATCGTCCAAGCTAAGTGGAAACGAGAAAAAAATCACCTGTCCACAGCGCGTCGTATCGTGCTATGCTGATGAGTCACAACAACGTAAGATGTAATCTGTCCAGGTTTTCCTCTTGCATCACGCCCTTTGATGTGTACTGACCGAATAAGATCCTCGACAACAGTCGAAGCAATGGGATCAAGTCCAGCAGTTGGTTCGTCATACATGACAACCTGTGAAGGAGAATTCTGATCTACGAATATCATGCTAGGAAAAAAATAACCTCGGGTTCATTCGTTTCCTCGCGTTCGTCTGAAATTATAGCGCGAGCTAACGCCACCCGTTTTTTCATTCCGCCAGAGAGCTCGGCTGGTAACCTTTCTTCAACTCCCTGAACAAGAAAACACACATCAAACACTGAATTAACGTAAAAAAAAGGATTGAGCACCTTGAGCCCGACTGACGCCAAACTGTCCCTTACTAGCTCGTTGATTCTCTCCTTGGGAAGACTTTGCCGCTCATAGCTGCCCAAAACAATCAAGTCAAGTACTCGGACAGAAAACAGAGAACGACCACAGCTTCTTACAGCATAAATCCGACATTTTCTCGAACTGTGAGCGAATCAAACAGCGCTGCGCTTTGAAAAACCTGCAAAGCTCGTAAGCCGATAATACACGGACGGTAAAGGCATAGTTCAGTACGTTACCAGTCCTATTCGCAATCCGGAAACATCTTGGTCACTGATTAATCCATCCCGTCTTACTCCTCGGATGAAAACTTCTCCCTGAAGAACATTGAGGAAGAGCTAATCAGAAATACCAAAAAAAACGGATGAAACCTTGTCAGGAACAAGAAGTCCAGCCATAATCTTCAAAATCGTGGACTTTCCTGTTCCAGAAGGTCCAATAATTCCCACAGCCTCACCATGGCGGACCTGCACAAAAAGAAAAGGATTTAGAGAGTGACAATCGCTATGCTGCTCAATCCACACCTTGAAACTGGCTCCTTTGAGGATGTGCTTCTCGCCAAAGGATTTGTAGACGTCGCGGCATTCGATTAGAACATCGGAGTCATCCTCCTGTCTTGAGGTCCTCAGCCGAAAGTCCTAAAAGAAAGAAAGATCGATCGCATTTCACAGTGCCTGCCGGACAATCGAAAGAATGACTCACATTCTTGAGGATCGATGTCGTTTCGTCGCTGGCGGCACAGAAGCAAGACCGGGCCAGAGATTTCTGGGAGCTGCATCGAGGCTGCGGAGGCCAAAGCGTCGCGCTCCATGCCGGTGCTGCTACTCCAGCCATAACCTAAACCCATGCATAGAGTAAAAAATAAAGTGGTGAAGAACTGAGTGGCATTTTTTGCTGGGCATTGTTGGAAATCTCTCTGCTGGAAAATGCGAAGAGAGGGGCACCGCCGCAAGCATCGTTGTGAAAGGTTTCACGCCAAGTACCGGTGAGACCGAGCAAGGAGCCGAGGTTTTTGTCTGGAATCGCTCGCGTTTGCCGCTGTACTGTGAAGATTTCTCACATCCTTCTGGATCTGTAGCTCAGAAAGAACTTAATGGAACACGAGAAGCTTGTAGTTTTTTGGTCAAGTAAAGACGAGGAGAAGCGGTAATGCGTTTATACTTCACTGGTTCGTCACAAAACTTTTCGTCTTCTAAGAGTTGAAAGCGTTTTGTAGCCGTTGCCATATGACCCGTCACGACTTGAGAAGAATGCAACAACTGGATTTTTGCATCTACAAGAAAATAAGGAGGTCATGGAAGTGAATGAATGATTCATGCAAACTTCAATCCAAATGTTGGCGACTCGTGAGACGATCATTGAAGCTGAACTGAATCCTTCAAAACAAAGGAGAGAACTAGAGCGTCCATCAAAAGAGTCATGTATCCTTCTAGCCAAGAATACTCCAAATAAATAACAGTTACACGGATCAAATCTGTATCGTGAAGATTAATTCTCTTCCAAACAATAGTGATTGATGGATGCTAGACATACGCAGCAGTGAAGGACAATGCTGTGACTCCCAGTCAACCCGTCAGTCAGTCGGGTCCACTTCATTCAACGCAGGTCAGTCTCACAGTGAAGCCAGCGATGGCACCCGTGTTGATTGTGGCCGAGTGCACCTTTACACCAGTGTTCGACATATGCTTTTTTGATGCCCAAGATGCCCAAAAATGCAAGATGGTTGGCTTCAAGAACAAATACAGGATCATTACTTCTTATTCTTCTTCGCTGGGAGAGCTCGAGCTTCTTTTGAGAGGTCACATCTCTTGGTCATCTTGTATTTCACTTGCTGCTTATTTGGGTGCTCACCCAGGCTGTATTCATCCTCAACATTGTTGTCATATTGATTGTTTCTCTTGGGTTTGAATTTGAGCTCACCATATTGCTTTATGATCTCCTCCACACCCCCTACCTGAAAGTTGAAGCGATTCACACATGTGTATGCAACCTGCATACCTTCAAATAGAAGACTTCACTCACTCGAGAACAAGAACATTGTGAGGGGAACTCCTGGAACTTAACAATCAGCATAACCTGGGGCTTCTTCTCAACCTGGTGGACATGTGCAATGGCCGCAGCTTCTTCCCTGTGGGAGCACGGAGAAGCCTCTTCCCCACCTGGTGGACTTACACAACGGCCGCAGCTTCTTCCAGCTATGCAAGAGCCCTAAAGATTTGAGCTTGCCCTTGATCTTTTGCTTGCTCGACCTTGCTTGCTCTCTTTCTCTCTTTTCCGCATCAAGGAGAAAAATGTAGGGCACTAGGAAGCAATTTAGAGCAGGGAAATCATTGCTCTCATAGATCATAAATGTCTTGGAACATGCCCAAGAGGGATATCCATAACAAGTGCTTGAAGTGATGGGAGGATCCAAGAAACAGCCCCATCTGGCTCTGGAATGCGATGATCCAAATGTTGATAAAGTCCAGGAGCTTCGACGAGGCTTTGGATATGTTAGCATGATCCCAAAACACCAAAATGAAGTTTCTTGGAACTCTTTAATCACAGCATTTGCCTTGAAAGGGATTTTGAGACAGTTTCAAGCTTGCAATCCAAGATGCCCAAGACTCTTGATGGCAGAGACCTAGCAATGCCATGTGCTTGCTACCTCGGCATTTTGCTTTTGGAGCATTCTCAGTTGGGGGAAAGCCAAGATATACATTGTCATGAGAGAGGATTTGAAAGTGATGTGAGTGCTTGAGTGGAGGATTGTTCAGGCCATTGTCCCAAGAAAGGTGAAAAGGAAGAAGTCAATTGAGACTCTTAAGGATTACTTCCAATGCTGCAAGAGCAGTGCCTTCAAAGCCTAACACTAACACTTTTGGCAGCTTTTAGCCAGTGGGATTTGTCCAGACAATTGTCATCACTCATTTGTTTTCCTGGACACTCTCTTTCTTTGTGTATCTATGAAAGTGTTTGGTGATGACGTGAGACAGCTCGACTTCAAGCTAGAGGAGTTAAGAAGGCTGCAAAAGATCTTTGCTCACTGCACTGAGGTACTCTAGGGGTGAAACCAGACATTCCAGGGATGAAAGAAGGGGTCACTTTCTAATCCAATCGCTTAATTTTGCCTTTAGAGTGCTGCATGAAGTGCCTGGTTTTGCCCTTGGAGTGTCGCCTAGAGTGCTTGGTTTTGCTTCTAGAGTGCCGCCTAGAGTGTCTAGTTTCGTGCTTGGATCACCTCCGTGCAATGTGCAAAAGCATTTTGAAGCCTTCGCAATTTCATTACCTTTTGGTTGAGCTTCCTGACATTATCACTAAACACACTTGTAGATGCAACAAGAAATAGTGCATCCAAAAAAATCAACAAGTGATGATGATTATCCAGATGAGTCTCGCTAGCTAAAACATCCCAAAGTTGTTGGTGTTGGGCCATGTTGGCATTGCTCTTGCAACATTGAAAATAATCTTAAAAAATCTCAATATTTTTGCTATGCTTCCTTTGCCCCATCGGGGCTACAACCTGGACAATCGTCCACTTAGGCACCCCCATCACTTTCAAATATTCTCTCATGATGGCATACATTCTAGCTTCCCCCTAGCTGATAATGCTCCAAAAGCAGAGGGCTGTGGTAGCAAGAACATGTGATTGCCATGTCTCTACAGTTAGAAAACAATGAAGTGTCTTGGGCATTTTGGACTACAAGCTTGATGCTGCCTCAAAATCCCCCTTGAAGGCAAATGCAGTGACCAAGGAGTTCCATGACACTTCATCTCGGTGTTTCGGGATCATCCTAAACATCTCCATGGCCTCGTCAAAGTTCCTAGACATTGTCAACATTTGGATCATTGCATTCCAGAGCCAGATGGCTTTTCCTCCGGTCCTCCCATCACTTCAAGTACTTGCTACGGATGTCCCTTCTGGGCATGTTTTGAGGCATTTATGATCCGTGAGAGCAACGATCTCCCTACTCTGAATTGCTTCCCAGCACTTTGCATTTTCCACCCTGATGCGCAAAAGAGAGAGAGAACAAGCAAGGTCGAGCAAGCAAAAGATCAAGGCCAAGCTCAAATCTTTAGGGCTCTTGTAGAGCTGGAAGAAGCTGCAGCCATTGCTTGCGTCCACCAGGTTAGGAAGAGGCTTCTCCCTGCTCCCACAAGGAAGAAGCTACAATCGTTGCGCGCATCCACTAGGTTGAGAAGTAGCCCTAGGTTATGCTGATTGTAAGTTCCAGGAGTTCCCTTGCGATGTTCTTGTTCTTGAGTGAGTGAAGTCTTTTGTTTGAAGGTACCTAGATTGCATATGCGATGTGGAATCTGTTTGTCGCGGCCGAGATATGAGCACGATCTTAGAGAGAATGCCGTCGCAGCTGCTTGGATGTTTCTCTAATCTTGGAGAGTTGGAGCATGCTAAGATGATCTTTCTCACCCCAGCTCCCCAGTGCAATGTTCTCTCGATGATTCATGCCTAGAGATTGATTTGAGCTTTAGGTAACTTCAGATAGTTCTATCCGATTGTTGAAATTATAATTTGTTGTGTCTTGCAAGTGGAACTTGAGACTAGAATGCAAGCTGGTGGAGTGCAACTTCTTGCTCATAATTCCTTTTCTACTTCTAGGAGAGCAACTGGCTGTGGTGGTCGAGAATTTATGAGTGGATCACGACAGTCAAAATTGCAGATACACAACAAAGGAGGTGCGGCTTGTCATCTCTCTTTGTTTGATATTTCAACTAGGCAAAGCAGCTCTAGCAAAAGCAAAGCAAACACGATTATTGCATCGAGGCAACCGAGAGGGGATTCGGTTTGGTTGCAAGCTATAAGTTGAGAGTTTTGTTATGATAGCAGTTCTTTGAAGGGGAAATCAACTCTTGTTGTGAGTGCAGCCTCGCTTGTCAAGCACATTTTGGATGCTGGAAAAGTTCCATCGCCGCAAGCATCGTTGAAGAAGCAGTGCTGGAGAGGCTGCCCGACTGATCCAGGGCCGAGCTTGTGTGGCTAACTCCAGCGTGACGACACCAAACTTTCCTCATCCAAGCAAATCCTTGAAATTGTTCCTCTCCTAGCTTGCTTGCATTTCTCTCACATCCTCCTTGATCTATAGCGTCAGAAAGAAAATAATGGAACATGAGAAGGAGAGATGCTTGGCTTTTTTGCTATGATCTCTCTTTTGATTTTGGCCACTACTGCTGTTGTTTGAGAGAAAAAAACTAGTTGGTAGTGTACAAAAATTTTTTGGGGGTGATTCAACGTGGATGACTTGTCATGACTTGAGAAGAACTCGATCAAACTTCAATCGATATCCGATGATGTTGGGGACTCTTAAATCCCGCTAGTGAGTTGAACTTAATCATCATCTCAACATCATGAGTGCATGAGCCTCTCTAGAGATTGAAAAGAAAGAAAAAAGAAAAATTTCCTACACGTTCACTGCATACACTAGCCTTGGTATTTCCGATCTTGTGTGGAGGGTTTTAGATTTAATGCTGCGACTCCTCCACACCATTAAATGCGGTCTGAGTATCTGTAGATTTTGAAAGAAAAATAACTGTTAATTACCCATCGTAAAGCATCAATTCTAGCATCCATCAATCACTATTGTTTGGAAAGGTAAACACAGCAGTGAACCATCTTGCATCATTAGTCTATCTTTCTATCAAACAATATATACATTAGATAGAAAAGGTGCTCCAGCTCCAGTGAGGAAATCCTCAACACTTGCATGGTAGTTTTCTGCCCAAGAAAGTAGGAGAATGGAGGGTGGCACTTGCTCCTAGGAAGTCGTCCTTGTCTTTTGCTAGCTTCGTGAGAGACATGTGTTGAAGAAAGTGGACCCTATTGACTGCTGGGAGTCACAGCATTGGATCTAACCTTACTTCTTATTCTTGCTCGCGCTTGAGCTTCTTCTGAGAGGTCGCAGACCTCTCTTGGTCATCTTGTATTTCACTTGTTGCTTATTTGGGTGCTTGCCTAGGCTGAAGTCATCCTCAACGTTGTCGTCATATTCATCGTTTCTCTTGGGTTTGAATTTGAGCTCACCATATCGCTTGATGATCTCCTCCACACCCCCCACCTGAAAGTTGAAGAGATCCTTGCACGCGTTCCCTGGCCAGGTTCAAATCTTGTTGAAGCCACCATTCTACGCCACCATCTTTGTAGCTTCCAAGTCCTCAACAAGTTCATCATAAGTCTCTTGATCAAAATCCTCATGACTCATCTTGTCATCGAATTCAATATTAGGTGAGCAATTCGTGTCCATCCGCAGCAATCTATCCAACGAATTAGACTTGTTGAAACTCCTCAACACCAACTCCCACTCATGTGCCAACATCTGCGCATCAAACACTAGCCATGCCTGCATCTCTAGCGATCCAACACCGCCAAACAAGTCTCGCTCCACCCAAGAGACCATTTCCTGCCGAAACTTTCTCGATCCTGGGCCATGCCCTTGAATCTCATGGGGTATCATGCCTAACCTTATGTACTTGATCAGATGTCTGCTAAATAATGGCATCTCTTGTGGTTGCTATTGTTTCTGCTGCTGCTGGAGCTCTTCCGAGATTGCTTCGATCGTTGTTGGCACCCTCTTGTAGTCGTCGATGCAAAGGCGAATGTTGGTGTAAGTGAGGTTGTCGTCCCAAATACCTTCGTAGTGCTCTTCATAGGATGTGGGCTTCTCATGGATGATGGCCTCCATCGCAATTCTACTGATACCCAACACTTTGCCTTGCTCGCATGTGTGACCAAATACACGCTGGATCTTGTAGTCTAGCCTTCTGTCGCGAATGTGACTTTGGGTATCGAAAGATACTTGTCGGCCAGTCCTTATGGACACTCTTTCCTTTCTGTTGCGACAGTAGGAGGTTGGTATTACTGGTCCTTTTTATGGTCTCCACCCAAGTTAGTTGAGAAACTAGTCAGCACATGTGCACTTAGACTGGAAGGGCATGAAGGAAGGAAATCCTAAGTTGTCATTAAGTCAAATATACTTGACACAATGATGAGAAACTCATGTTGTTGGCTTGCATTTGTTAGTGTTAGGAACCCCCTTGATATTGAGTCTAATCCCTCAATATCTTTATATGATGGTAGACATGGTAAGCTATCATATAACGATATTGAGGGACTAAACTCAATATCAAGGGGGTTTCCAACACTAACAAGTGCAAGTCAACAACATGAGTTTCTTATCATCATATCAAGTATGCTTGACTTAATAACAATTTAGGATTTCCTTTCTTAGTGCCCTTCTGGTCTAAGTGCACATGTGCTGACCAGCTTCTCAACTAG